ATTTCTAACTATTGTGATGATGTTCAGTTAAAAGGGGGAAGAAGGAATTCTTGTCTTTTGATCACATCTACTGGGATATTTTTGAATAAATTAATATGATGTCCTAGATTTTCTTAAGAATCCAGGAATGAAGGGAGAAACGTGAAAAGATGAAGTGAGATTGACAAGGATGTCAATGCTGGGACGGATCCACGGGGCGTCTTTATACTATCCCGCCTCCTTTGGGATGTGTCTAGAAATGCACAAAATAAAGCATGAACACATAAACCGGCTCTCCCTGGGGACTCCTTCCCCATAGCCCCTAGCCCTATTCAGTGCCACAACCATTGTGGTCCTTGGTGAGGCCTGTGGACCATGTTTGAATATATAAAATACATGGAATTATCGAGGCCGGCAGGTCACTAATATGTGTTTCCTTACAGGCACACTGAGTAGCAAGGCCAGCAAGCTGTCAGATACTGCCCTGGTGTCAAGGAACGCAGAGACTGCAGGACAAACTCCTTTGGATGACAAAGTTCCAGCCCTGCTCACCAGCTGGGGTTTGTTGCCTTCTTTCTTAATGGGAGGCTACACTTCAATTCAAGATTAGGAGTGATCACCCGGTGATTTGGACCCTATCCCTTTGCATTCTGTCCCCCTGGGGGCTCAGGGAGCCCCAGTGGGCAAGTCCCTGTGTGCTTTCCTCCTAGCACAGGGTTCTGGGGATGCTGTTTTATTGTGCTGTGTCTCCTTGTTTGGTTGCCCCAGCTACTGTGAGACTCCAAGTTCCCTGGGTTCACAGAGACCCTGCCTAGGAATCCATCTTTCATCCATCATTGAACCCAAGTCTGAAGCCAAGACACACAACGGTTGTACAGCACGTCTTTGTACAATAAATAGTGACAATGGCTCACATTTATGGAGGGCTCGCTCTATGCCTGGTGTTGCAATAAGCCTGCAGATGGCTCGCCTCATGGGACCCATGCCATGGGGTGGGGCTGCTATTTCACCCCGTTTTGAAGATGAGGAAATTCAGTCAGCGTAATTGGGAAGCTGGATGACAGACTGAGAGTCCAGGCTGGGGACACCATGGTACCCAGGTGTGGCATCTCAAAAAAGCAGGCCCAGGAGGTAAGAAGACTCTATCCTGGGTTTCTTATGAGAAGAGCCATGCACAGTCACTTCTTATCACGTAAGAAATTGAACAACAGATTTCTATATTCAATTCTGTCAACTCTCTGGCAAAGAACTGCAAATCCCCACCAGCAACTTCTGCATGATTCTCACCGGGGCCTATTTGAATGTGTCTAAATAAATCACTTATACTGAGATGAGGAGCCCCTGTGTGCATTGTTGGGAGGTGGTGGGACCCTTGGGGCTGGGGCCTGGGAGAGGTCTATGGGCCAGTGGGGTGAGCCTCCGAAGGGGATGGTGAGACCCCAGCCCCGTCCTCTTCCCTCTGGCTTCTTGGCCATGAGGTGAGCAGTTGCTTTGTTCCATGTGCCCCCTGCCAGGATGTGCTGCCCGGTCACAGGCCCAAGGCAGTGAGGCCAACCAACCATGACCTGAATTCCCAAAACTGTGAGACCAAATAAACTTTTTTTTAATATAGTTTGATTATCTCAGTTATTTCATTAGAGTAATGAAGAACGGACTCACACCCTGAGAAAGCAACTCATTGTTTGAATTATGTGGCTCTTAGCCCAGTCCGACTCAGCTTCCCAGGCTGAGAACCAGCGAACAGGAATAATTCAGGTTTGAGAATGAGCCATCAGCTTCAACGGCAGGCCACACGATGCCAGTGTTAATTCACTTTGAAGCTTCTGATATGTGATTTTCCCCAACTCCCTTAGAAAAGGGAACAAATAAAGAGCAAGACTCACCCATGTCACCAACAGCTGGAAAAGACAACCAAGGAGCCTCAGTTTCACAGGGTGGCCGGTACCTGCAGGGATGTCTGCAGTGTAAAAATGGCTGCAGACTGCCCACAGCACAACCCCCAGCGAGAACATGCAGGCAGCTGCAAGGAGGGTCAATGCCAGGAAGACCATGTTGTGTCCACCGTGGAGAAGGCCACACAGAAACCTTGCTCAGCTTAGACCATTAGGACATGGTTTGGGGCTGGGAGACCTCCTCTCTTATACACCACCGGCTTCTCTCCCCGCCTCCCTGTCTCCTGCAAACATTGGCACAGCCCAGGTGAGTCACAGACTCAGGTGAGGATGTGGTCCTAGGTCAGGGCCCACACAGAGGAGAAAGTGGCTCGCACCACCTGATCTGGCTGGGAAAGATTGCCAGATCTTATGCCAAGACATAAGTTCCAGCTTATGTCTTGGCACTGCTAGTACAAGTGGCTTGAATATGCCTCCAAGTCACATGGACATCTTCTCCAGACTTCATCTCCCACATCCCCCTTTCCACTCTGGCCACACATGCTTTCCCTTGCCTGCTAAAGAGGCCTCCGGGCATTTGCACTTGCTGTGCTAAGGAAACATTTCCCCCAGATACCAGCCAGGCTCCATGCCTCCCACCCTCCAGGTTGCTGCTCAAATGTCACCTTCTCAGTGAGGCATCGCCATCCCCACCCCCACTTCTTTCTTCTTTATGGGCATTTGTTATGATCTGAGATACCCCATGCTTCATGTGTCTGTTAATGTCTCTAAAATGTAACCTCTGAGAAGACTGGATTGAGTTTTTTGAACTGATTTTTTTTTTTTTTTTTTTTTTTTTTGCCAAGAGGCTGGATCTGGGTTTGGTTCCTCACAGAAGCTGAGGCGGTGCTGTTGAATGAAGGGAGGAGTAGACAGGCTTTGTCCCCTTCATCGTAAAACAGGAAAAAGATGAGCTTGCCTGATTCTCCAGGCCGGGTCGTCAGTGGTAAATGTCACCACTCACGGTCTTCTCTAGCCAGGTACTTTGTCAGCCTTAGCCACCATGGCATCTGCCATGCCCCCACCCCATGGTGGTAGAGCCGCGGCTCCCCATGGGGACACTTTCCCTCCCAGGAGTAACTTGGCACGGTCTGAAAGCATTTGGGTGAGAGGTGGCTAGTGGTGCTGGCATCTGGTGGAGAGACACTGGGGACGTTGCTAAACAGCCTATAGGGCACAGGACAGCCCCACAACCAAGAGGCGTCTGGTCCAACATGTCAGGCAGCCAAGGCTAAGAAACCCTCAGCCAGGAACACTCGGGTTCAAACCCTGACTCTGCCAAATGCTGGCCATCTGATTGTGAGCAAGTTACGGACACTCTAAGCCTGTTTCCAAATCCATAGAATGGATAGGAGCAGTCCCTCCCCAGGGGTTGGTGGGTGCACCAAAGACACGAGTGTGTCTCTACAGGTGGCAACAGGCACCACCGAGACCTCTCTGCATGTTCCCAATGCCCTGTTCCCCTGTGGGCACACAGGAAGGCCAGGGGCTGGCCCTGGCTGCATCCGGGTGGGATTACCGGGTGCGTTCTGGCCAGTGAGGTGTGTGTAAAACTGCAGTGGCCCAGGCAGTCCTCACTGCCTCTATCTCTGGGAGGGAAGAGCTTCCGAGGACTGAGCCTCATGACGGCACATCCCCCTGATGTGTTTGGAGGGGGCTGTCAGGGAGAGTGAAGCCTACTTGGCACCCTCACCCCAAAGACCCTTGTCATAATTAAGCTTCTCCTCTTGGCAGATCCGCAGGTTGTCTGCAGGAGGCGCTGTGGTGTGAAGCGTCCTCTCTCTTCTAAATGCCAGGTTTGCACAAAAACGTGATAAAATTAGAGTCTGCAAGCTGCTTGTGCAAAAAGATATTACCTCTGTTTTCTTGGTAAAAACTTGTGAGACCTGTGTCTGGTCTACAGGATGGAACAAAAAGCCCTTGTCATGTGATCTTCCCAGCCCCCACCCCACTGGGTATGAAGTTCAAAAATTTCTCCAAATCTCTGTCCAGAGAACCTTTCAGGCACAAGCCACACTCTGGATCTGCCTGCTGCAGCCAATAGACCTGCTTCCTGAAAATTCCTCAGGAGTCCAGCCTCTTCTGTCATACTTCAAGAGGAGCCTCCAGGAGCCTCCAGGGGAGACCCTGCCAACGTGGTGTATTAAGCTACAGAGATGTGGCTGCTGGTCACAGCAGCCAGCCTCAGGGGGTATTACTGCCCAAGTGACCCTGCCCAAGGTCTTCTGCCACCCAAAGTCTAACTTTAGTCTAACTCAGCCTTGCTCTTCCTTTGTCTTTTTTGCTTTTCTCCTCTGAACACCCAGCACAGGATTTTCTCCCAGGAAAGCTGCTGATTCAGACGCTTGGGCTGTCCCTCCTGACCCTGTCTGAGAGGAGGAACAAGGACCCACAAAGAACCCGGACCAGAAGTCAGGCACCTGGAGCCTTGGCAGCCTCTGCCCGCCAACTAGACGGTGATGGTGGCGATGTCCTCGCCCTCTTTCTCATCTCCAAGATGAAGCGAAGGCCCCTGCTCTCTGCCCAGGCTGTGCTGAGTCCCTTGAACATATGCAGGTGTGACAGTGCATTCTGTAGCTCTGGAGTCGCCTCGACCTCCGTTTGGAATAAAGGGTTAATTTGCTGATGCCAAAAACAGGGCTTAGTCACTCTGGACACAGTTTCCAGTTCTCTGCCTCCTTCCAGCTCCTCACTGTGGTCTGTCCCTACACCTGCCTTATACAAACTCCCTCCTGAGGTTCACCTCCCTGGGGGACAGCTGGGGACAACCTCGATCTTCCAACCTCCACGGCCCATGGCCGTTGTGGATATGTTGTGACAGCCTCCTCTCGGTCACAGGGTGATGCCACAGAATTCAGCCTGCTCACTGTGAACCCACCAATCAGAACTCTCCATAGAAAGTGCATGAGTAACACCCTGGGCTCCAGGACCCAGGTACCCCCGCAGTCCCACCAGCTGGCTGGTGGCTCCCTCTTCCTATTGGCCCTGCCAGGCATGCTGCTCTCTGTTCCCTGGGACCGGTAATACTCCACTTCTATTGCTTCGTGTTTTGTTGAGTCACCTCCTTTATGTCTCACCTGGCTGACACACCTGAGCCGAGCTCTCCCCCTGATCCGGGCTCTCCTCGAAAGTGGCCATCAGGGTAAGAATAGCCTGGACGGAGGCCAGAAAAGGACCACAGGGGCATCTGCCAGTATCAACAAGCTTCCTACAAGGCGTACCTGGCCACAGGTGAGACAGCCATTAGGCTGTGCACCAAGGTCATGAAAGGATGCTGTATGTCCACACCCATCAGGGAAGGGCTAGAGTCTATTGTCACACTCCTGAGAAAGACCTCAGGCCAGGTAACAGGAAGAGCCACAACGCTTGTTCAGTACCTCCCCCTCATCAACCCATTAGGAAGCTCCTATTCTTAGGGTAATTTAATGGCTCAGGAATCTGAGCCTCAGTGAGGTTGAACAGCTTTCCTAACATTAGAGAACTCCTAAGTGGAGATTAGGGGGGAACCTCCTGTCCGGGGATGGCTCTCCACAGGTCCCTTATTTTATGCAATTTCAAAATTCCAGTTAACAAAGAAAACTCTGGAAACGTGCCCTGCTCACGTCCACCATCCAGCCCCAACGGGAAGCTGGACCGGGCAGGAGCCAATCTAAGCCAGAACTCACTCCTGGCGCAACAGGCATCTGGGTCACAGGTCTGTGTGGGGCCTGAGAAGTGTTTTGAAATGACAGAAAAGAATAATCGATCAGCTATTCCGACATGTTGATTGTGAAAACATTCTTTTTTAAATTATCCAGGAAATTCGTGCTTACCTTTACGAATCACCACCATGACGCCGTGGGCTGTCGGTGTTTGGCTTTGTTAATGTGGTTTTCTGCACTGGTCTTTATAATTTTCATGGAATGAAATCCCACGTCTCTTCTCTCATGGTGTTTACTTTCGTGTCACAGAGGCCGTTGGGAGTTTGGTGAGCGTCCAACCCACGTGGTGATTCTGGGATGCGTGTTTCTTCTATCTAGTGCTTCACCACTCCCGGGACCTCGGGGGTCTCCACCTTCACTGCATGCTCTGTCCCTTGTCTGGAAACTGAGGAAGACTGAGATGACACACCAGGGTGTAGAAAGGGGTCTCCCTGCCAGCCTAGATACACATCCCATGGGCCACACGAAGCTCTGATGAGAGTTTCACCAAAATGCAAGGGAGTGTGGGAAATGCAAGCTTCTATGTGCCCAGGAGGGAAAAGAAATGGAGTTTGGTGAATGCCAAGTACTTTCCTGTCACACCGCCTTCCTTCTCCCAAGCACAGGGAGATTTGGTATAGGGAACTGGAAACTTGCAACCCGGATGATAGGATTTAGGGAGAGAAGACCAGGGAAGTGACAGGCTTTCCATCAGTCAGGAACTGCAGGTGTCACTAAATGACGACAACGGCTGCTGTTGAGCTGTCCTAGCAGGTGCTTCTCCAGACCCCTGGAAGCTGCAGGCACAACGACACACCTTGTGTCTGCGGGGACTCACGTGCCTGTCCTCAGCCGCCACTGGTGAGGGATGACTTCTGCTTCTAGCCTGCTTTCCAAATCCTGCAGAAAGTCTCGTCCAAGGCAAAATCGAACCTGGCACGTGGCTGGTCTTACAGTTCCCAGAATCAAAATGGAGTCACTGTGTCAACACTCACCAAATAAATAAATAAAGCCCAGAGATGATGAAGGAAGGGTTCTCAGGCACGATTGCCTAACAATAACTATCGCAAAAGACTCTGCCAAAACCACACCATTGCGCAAAGGCCACCGCAAACTTGCATTTAAAAAAAAAATGCTTCTGCAAAGACATCTGCCCAGCAACTTAGCCTCAGACCGGCATCACCTTTGACACTAATCATTGTGATCAAGGTGATTCAAAGAGTGTCCTACATAATCCTCTTCCTTTTAAAACAACTCCCTGCTTCAACTTCTTCAAATAGCTTACTATGGCGCGCATATTCCTATTGCAATGTTTTTCCTAAATAAATACCACTATTCTTCGAAGAATCTCTGTTATTGTTTGTGTTTTGACACTGACGAGAGAGTCTGGGACATGCCATTCTTGTGTCCCTGCACACAGGAAGGAAGCTAGGAGGGAGGCAGGACGCTGAGCACCAGCCATCGGCACGTGGAATAGTCACCAGTTTGACTGTGACATTCTGAGCCCGGTAAGCCTGGCCATGGACTGTCTAGGAGTCTGTCCCCCGAGGTCAAGTATTCCCGGTATCTATAGATCCTTGCAGTGGTACTCGGGATGCCTCGGTTTTCAATAGGTCTCCTTGATTTCCTAGCAGTTTTTCTCTTTCGTGGGTTCTGTTTGCCATGTTATTTATCACAGTCATAAAGTCATTAGGAAAGCTGTCTGTAGTCATTTTTGCCAGGGCTCTCTTTTACTCAGCTTTTCATTGTCGTGACCAAAATATCAGACAAGAACAAATAGAGGAGGGAAACTTTACTTTGGCTCACAGTTTTGGAGGTTCAGTCTCCGTGAGCCAACTCTGTTGCTCTGGGCCCAAGGTGAGGCAGACAGCCTGGCAGAAGGGCATGGCAGAAGGAAGTGGCTCTACTTGTGGTGGCCAGGAAGCAGAGAGAGAAAGGGGAAGTGGCCACAGGGAAGATGCGCCCTTCCAAGCCTGTCCCCAGTGACCCACCTCCGCTAGCCACGGCCCACCTGCCTACAGTCACCACCACCTATGAGTTTTTGGGGAAAACAATTCAACCCACACCACCACCCTTATCCATACCAAATGGTGTTTGTTTGTGATGCCATATTTCCTGCCTGGATTCCTGCTGCTTGAGCAAGAGTGAGGAAGCAGCTGACGTGCACTTTCCCTTGGGTGAGGGGACATCTAGAAGAAGAGAGCTCCAGACTCACTCCCTCCCCATCCACCCTCCCTGCTCTACAGGGGAGGAGAAGTGACTTACCCCAGTGCGACCCTAAGAGGAGTTGAGCATGTCCTGATGTCTGTGGGAAGTGTCTGCCAGCAGAGAAGGGCTGTCCGGCTCTCTGTGGCCACAGAAAGAGGTGTGTGAGTGTGCAAAGCTACCTGGGACCTGCTCCTAACATCAGCTAACCACACACCTGAGCCACATGCTCTGACAATCAGTTTTACCAGAATCAAAAGTGATTTAGCAATCACAGCTTCAGCAGGAAACAGAGGGACACTCGTCTGTTGGATGATTTGGGGTGAGGCGTAATAAAAAGTGGCAAAGAGACACCACAGGTAGCACAGCAGGGCTCCACCCCACTCCTGAGGAGAGGAGGGAGGGGTCACTGCCCTCTGGTGCTAGGCAGAGAGGACTTCTCTCTCTTTCTGCTCAGGCATGCTGCATGCCCAGGGCCATAGAGCTTAATACCAACACCCCACCACCCCTCTTCTCCCTCCCTAACCTCCCCCACTGCTGCTCCCCGCTGCCAAAACTCTTTGGAAAGGCAAAAGTCAAAGGCATCTGTGGATGGGTCCCTGACGTCAGCTTCCCAGGGCACAGAGCAGGCAGAGAGTGCACTTGGGCAAGGTCCAGCACTGGGATAGTTTGATCTCCAGATCCTCATATCCTACATTGTTTCTCAATAAGTTCACATGGGAGAAGGGGTAAGGCCTATTAGTTTCCTGATGCTACTGTAACAAAGTTACCACAAATTCAGTGCTTTGGTGTGACACAAATTTATTCTCTTCCTATTCTAGAAGTTAAGTATACAACCGCGGTGTGTGGACAGAGTTGGTTCCTCTGAATGCTCATATCTGTGTCCCTCCCTTTTTCCAGCTCCTAGAGGCCAATTTCTTGGACCATGATCCCTTCTCCAAAGCACTCTGGCCCTACCCCCACCCCCATCCTGCTTCTGTCATCGTTTCTCCCCCTTTACAAGGAACTTCATGATGACATCAGTCCCACCCGAAGAATCCAAAATAATCTTACCCCCAAATCCTTAATTTAACCATTTTTGCGAAGTGCCTTTGACACATGAGGTAGCCTTCACGAGTTCTGTGGAATTAGGACGTGACCATCCTGGGGTCAGAGTGTTATTCTGCCCATCTGTGGGGCAGTGGTGGCCCGCCCTTTCAAACCACTTTGGCTTCGAGAAACAGGCACGGGAAATTTGCCTTTCCTATTGCAAAATTTAAAAGTCTGTAAGAACGCTCAACGACATCAGTTCTAAAATTCTTGAGTTTTCAGGCACCTTCTGAAGACTCAGTAGGGTTTTCTCCTCTCCCGGGAAGAATTCACGTTTCAGGCGCCCCCTGCTGGCGTCTGAGGCGCCTGCTCTCTTCTCTCCCACCTATTTTCCAGGTTCTGGTCACATGCGTCCTTACTTCATTTTTATCTCATACTTTGCAGACAGTGATTGAAAATCCTCTGCAGGAAGAACCCTGGGGAATCTAACTTTCCGCACCTTCTAAGTTACAAAAGGTGGAGAGCATAAAACTATCAGGTAACCTTCCTCTGTCTTGTCTCTGCCTTCAAAGGTGGTGGCATAAATGGACACCAAGGGTCATTGTCCCTTCCCCTTTCTACCTCTGGAAGGGCTCTTAAGTCTTTAGGAAAATTCCAATGAGCTGCAGAGTGGGGTGCAGGGGATGAGGAGGGTTGGGTGCGCATGTTAAAGAAAATGAGCTAAAAGTTCATTTCCTGCAAGCACTTTCCTGAAAAAAAATTTTTTTTTTTTTTAATGGAGGCAGAAAACACCCAGATGAAAGTCACAGGCAGAGAACTGAGTCCCAGACAAAGGGCTCTGAAGGACGGAGTTGCAGGCTGGCCTGCTTTGGGGTCTGCATGGGCAACAGAGCTGGGCCTCAGAGGGAGCCTATGGGAGCTGTCAGGGGACCAGCAGTTTGGGCGTCTCTTTCTCCAACAGGAAAACCTGAGGAGCTCTCCCAGGCACGGCCGTGCAGGGGGCCATGTGGAAGGACTCTCACCCCGGGATGCAGAGGGCCCACTGATTCACACATTGGTGCCTCTTCTACACAACTCCAATATGGAGCAGGATTTGGGGAAATGTGTCTCTGTTTGCAGCATCAAAACTAGCCAGCATCCATTCACCCACAAGCATTTAGGATGCTAACTCCCCAGCAACTTTCTGGGAAGGGTCTCTCTGGTAGAGTTGCTAGACCCTTCCTGACGAGGCACCTGGGAAAAGGGGAACTGAGCATCCTCTCAGAGCCCCACCTGCTTCAAGGACGGGCAGATAAGCTGAGAAGGTAACAGCGGAGGAGGCTTCTGGGAATCTGGAGTCATCCTGGCTAAATCCTCAGAATAGTTTTATTGATCCTTGCTAATGTTCCAATGGTTTCATGTTAGAGAACCTGGAACAACCCTTCAGGTAAACAGGAATACTTTAAAATCTTCCATCCTTCCCAAACACTCAAAGCCAGGGACTGGTAGCTCATTTTAAGCATGGATTCTGGCCAGGCATGGTAGCACACACCTGAAAGCCAGCAACTTGGGAGGCTGAGGCAGGAGGATCACAAGTAGGAAGCCAGCCTAGGCAACTTAATGAGACCTTTGCCTTAAAAATAAATAAATAGATAGATAGATAGATAGATAGTACATAGATAGATAGATAGATAGATAGTAGACAGATAGATAGATAGATCAAGGATTCTTCATTATTGTTTGCAGACCTCAGAATAATTTTTAGTACTTCAAGAAATAAGCATAACAAAGGCTGGGGGGGGCGGGTGTAGTTCATTGGTAGAGCACGTGCTTAACATACGCAAAACCTTCAATCCCCAGCTCTCCGTAACTGTGACAAAATATCTGAGATCATTAACTTAAAAGTAGGAAAAGTTTCTTTTGTCTCATAGTTTCAGA